CGTTAGTGGAGTAGACGGAGGGGAAGAGGTACCTTCTAAAACGTAAAAAATTTAAACTAAAACCTGGGTTTTTGTCAGAAGTTTAATATTAGTCAAGTAAAGTATTTATACAGTATTTATAGTATATACCAACTGAATTTATTCCAACATATGTATATCATAATATGTATGTTTATATATACAAATCTTTTTCTCTATTATATTAATAATTACTGTTTTATAATTTAAACTTTCTTAAAAAAAGTAATCATTATTTCTTTTACATTATCATTATTGTCACATTTTAAAAATATTTATATTATTTACGTTATAATTTATGTAATAGGTCCTTTCATCATAAGTCTAGATGATGTGGTAGGCACATGGGATTTAATAGGTGATGTAGTAAATGATACATGGATTGTAAAGAATTTTACTTACCCTCCTTCACCTCGAAAATTTAGACTAAATGCCGATAATTTAATCGAGGGTAATAAAGTGCTTAGTAAGTTTTAAATTCAACTGTATGATAATTTCTTTCTATTTTTGAAATACATACTTTCAAAAAATGGGAAATTAGAATTCTAATACTCACTTCACAAATGAGGTCTTAACTTATTATATTCTTTTTTTTTACTTTTATGTGTTTTTTTTATTTTTTGCAAACAAAGATCACGTAAAATATTAGATTCAATTATATCATAATATTTTTGCGTAATATTTTTTTGTAGTATATTTAAAGAAAAGAAAAGTTAGAATTTTACTACTTCACAAAAATTAAAATGTATAGTTTTTTATCTGTCTTAATATTTTTATGCGTTTTACTTTTAACAAATAAATATTCGTAAAATAAAGCCAATACAAAATTGCAACATATTTATTTCTTCTTAATACATGTTTATGTATCAATTTTTATTTTTAGATGATCTTATCTTAGGCTTTGTAAACGAGTTTTGGCCGCCATTATATCGAACAATGTTACCAGCAATGATCAAAATGTGGAACCCATGGCTAGTTGACATTGCCAATAATTTCTTTTCAAAAGTTTCTTTCTCGCAGCTATTTCCATAAGTCTGATGTATTCATTACATATTAAAAGATATTAACAAATTTAAATATAACATAAAAGCTATTTCGAATAGTAAAACCAAATTTCATTTATAATACATAAAATACATTTATATTACGTAAAAAATAAAAAATAAAATTTTTTATATTATATATTCTATAAGATAAGCAAAGGAAAAAAATAAAAGAAAGATACTTTTTACTTATAAATGTATAACAGTCACTCACTAAATTGTTTTATGTAATAAACTTCCAGCTTTTCTGTAAATTTTGAATACATACATTTATTTTGCCTATTTCTTTTCTCAATTTAAGAAAGAAAGTTGTTCTTGAAAATAGAAATTCAGAATTCAAATTTGTAGTCTCTACAAAGGATGTCACGCATATATTAATTATATCTCGCCTATTCCTTTTTTTTATATAGATTAATTAATCACAAATAAAAAAAGTCGCACAATACCCTAATCATTCAATATACAATTATGTTTCGACATATATCAAACGATTATTTAATTTTTAACTACAATAGAAGATTAAAATCTTTTTGGAACATAAAGGTTTAAAATCTTTTTTGAACATAGCGCTTCGTTCCATATATGTTGGTATTTTTGTTACTATCTTCAGAATTAGAAGAATAAAGTATTTAAATATATACGTGAATAATATGAAATAAATAAAAAGAAAGAAATAGGAAGATACGAAATTTGCTGTGGATAGAAATCAGAAAAGAAAAGTTAAAATAGGCATTAAAAATGTGAAAAGAATTCAGAAATAGGAAGGTACGAAATTCGCTGTGGATAGAAATCAGAAAAGAAAAGTTAAAATAGGCATTAAAAATGTGAAAAGAATTCAAATGTTCGCATTAAAAATTGTTTATTTCATAAAGTTTTGATTTTTTTTTATAAATTTTAAATACATATATTTATTTTGTCAAATCCTCTTTAAAAAAAGCAAGTTGTTCTGGAACATAAACATTCAGAATATCAAACTTATGCAATTTCTACAAAGGACGCCACGCATGTATTAATCATGCCTACTCGCTCTATTTTCTTTTTTTTTATATAGATTAAATGATCATAAATAAAAAAGTTGTATAATACTTTATTTGTTCAACATACACTTATATTCCAATATGTGCATCAAATAATTATTTTTAATTGCAATTTTAAATTGCAATAGAAGATTAAAATCTCTTTTGTAACTCTTGTTCCACGAATATGATACGATGATGTTGATACTTTTATTACTATATCTTCTGAAAAATAAAGATAATATCTAAGTATGTATGATGAGAATGAAATATGATAAATCCGAACAAGAAATGAAGAGACATTTGAGGAATTTGCTACGCGTAGAAGTCAAAAAGGGAAAGTTAAAAGATACTAAGAACACGAAAAGAATTATCCAACTTTTGCATCAAAAAATTTTCTTTGCAAGTCTCTTAAAATATTCATAATAAAGTATAAACTTTTAAAAAAGACTATGTCATATATCTTCGTTGTATGACTGCTCTGAATTCTTCTCTAATAAACAACTGACCGAATAAATTTCGCTTTTCTCGAATGTCAATAATTAAATCTATGATGCAACGAACAAGATTTTGCAACTTTTCTTCATGTATCTAGTTGACTAAGAAATCAATATATCCGATTTAAAATGTGTATGTATAATATACACACACACACATACACACACACACACGCGCGCGCGCGCGCGCGCGCGCATATATATATATATATATATATATATTTGAGAAAATTTGATATAGATAAATGCAGAGATATCAAGGTTTATCAAATCTTTCTAGTATCCACTTATACGTATGCATACGCAGGTTCGTCAGAAGTTATAAATTTTTGGTTGGAAGTTTGCGCATTATCATAAATTTTTACATGCAATCTCGTGACTTCGAACTTTATAGACTCGAAATGCTCGAAGTAAACGCTAGCTCTAGTAGAAATCATATAACGCCTCCGGTTCATATACAGAAACCAGTATATACACGCATGAAGTTACAAATTTCCGCGCGAATGGCAACCCACGGTCATCAATCTTCACGGATGTCTGAGCGACTTCAAATTTTAAGGTTTTCAGAGTGACTTGCCGTCAGCAAAAACTCATACAATTCGATTCATTGATTCGAAAGTGTACAGCTCTGCAAAATTACAAATCCCAACACAGATGCTAACTCATCATTATGAATTACCATTGTATGTGCATAACGACATTTTTAAGCTTCAACAGTGCAAAACTAATTCAATGAAATCACAAATATATACATAACATACATTTGCCTAATTCTTATAGAAAGATAAATAATAATAAAAAAAAAACAAATTAAAAATAAAAATAAAAAAATGTTACGGAATAAGTACGAAGCGCACGCTTGATAGTATGTGTGTCTCGGTAGAATAAAAATTATAAAAAAATTTAGTACTTGTATAAATATTTTGTAAATAATTGTAAATAATAATTGCTTCATCATGCAAATTCGATAGCGCAACAACTCTGGCTCGTATTATATCACTTTCGACAAGCGGAGCTCAGATTGACAAAACCGATATTCCGCCGTGATGGAAACCGTCAAGTTTCCGCCACGCAACTGAATAAATCACAAATACACGACTACCTGTGGAGACCCACGTTAATGTCCGCTACGCGTGACGAGGTGCAATTAATCCGCGATAAGTGCAATTAATTTAGAGTGATTTTCTCCGCACGGTAACCGTTCCGAATTAAATCTGGCGCGATACATCATGCTGACAAGAAAAAAAATAAAAAAATAAAAATATGAAGAGGTCGAGCAAGAGGAGAGGAGACCCCGTACTTTCCTTCATCGGGCGAGGCAAACCAGAATGCAGAGGTGCGCACGTGGACGGAAACATCGATCGTGTGTCGGCCAGCGAAGTCGGTAGACGCGTGAATCTCAATTTGCCGGCTGGTCCCCGCGGACACGTGCCTCCACGTGTGTATCCGCTGAACATTTACATAAGGTACGGATGAGGCGGTAACACGCCGATATGCTCCCTTTCACAATGGGAGAGACGCAGTATTCAGAAGAATTTTAAGAAGAATTAACTCTATAATTTAGAACGAGAGCAATCTATGTTTAAAAATATTTGACCTTTAACTAACGACACAAAATTTCAATTTCAACAATAAATTCTAATTTAATATTTAACATAAAAATATTTATCGCTATTTTGAAATGGGGAGAAAGTATATGCGCGGTTTGCATATATTATAAATAAGTATTCTTTCTTTTCCAAGTGGCTAAATGATGTTAGTATTTGTTCTTTTAAAACAACCAAAGTAATCAAATATTTTTTTTAATCTTTCGGCATCAAATATTTTTTTTAATCTTTTTTTTAAAATGTTTTATCTTAGATTTTTCTTCTTTTTCAAGTTTTTATTTACACAAAATGGTAGTTATAGAATTATAAGAAAAATGCCGACAGTGCGATAACATTCGGTTGATCGGGATAACATTATGAAAGCTTCCTCGGCACGGCATAGTTAATTAATCAAGCTTTTATGGCCGTCGTTCAATTGAGTTTTCTCGACCACTGTCCAGTTTTATCGGTTATCTTTCTCTTTCTCTCTCGTTTCTTTTTCACTTTTTCTTTATCTTTTATCTTTTCTTTTTTCTCTTTTCTGTCGATTCATCTCGCTTCTGGACTCATGCTTGACCTTTCGCGGAACATCAATGCAAGGGAAACACGCCATTTGTTTTTGTATCATTCGCCAAGTTGCTCGTGCGATCTTGTAACCACATAAATTATTCATGTCGCGATTAATGCGATTAAATATTTGGGTACTCCGTTATTCTTTCACTTTAGCACGTCGCGCCTCCGTGGATGCGAAGCACGGGGATTACCAGCTGCCACGCCTCGCGCAAACAAATTTTCGCGAGGAATCGCGTCGTCCCGACGCACAGCCGGCGACGTTCTTAATTGGTGCTAATTAGGCGGTTATACGTTAAATGCGCGAATGTCACAAACGCGCTTTCTCCTGCGTGGAGAATCGCGCCGATGGCGTTATTATCTTTTCAATATGTGTATAAAGTATAAAGATTTCTTTTAATTTAAATGCGTTTATTTCTTTCTTTCGTCCTTATTTTATCCCTATTTTATTTAGATAATCCTTTTTTTAAAATGAAAAGTGAAATTTTCACGTGTAACTTTATACAAAGCAATACAAAACTTTTTTATAATTAGACTTTCTTATATTATTTTATACTTAATATGCAAAATTTTCATATCATATTTTATTATAGTTACTCGTTTTCTGAGATTGAGTATCATCTATCTAAGTACGTTACCGTTAGTTAATGAAGAATGACCTGCTTCATATCGCGCATACACATATCAATCCTTCGCTATTACAAATCATCGTATAGCCTCGATGTTCCGCAAGTATCTTGGAAGACGTGAATGATATACATAAGCGCAAACAGCTACGTGAACACGGGATAGATGGGCTACACGTTGTGGCGGGGATATTCTCAGGAAATTCACCATTTTTAAGCTTATCCATGGTACTTATTTCTCGAGAGATACGGGAGGCCCAGGGCTTCACCCTGGCAGCGGGCGGAAGGATACAAAACGAGCGCAAGCTCGCCGGGCGTAAAGGATGAACGTGTTTTCCAGCCGCGTAGGAACGAGATACGTTCCCGGAAAATCGGTGACCGCTTTAGTACAGAGCAAACGCGATTATCGATATCATCGCTTTGCTTTCGTTTTGCTATAATAGAATTTTACGTAACTCAATTAGAGTTATCAAATTTACTGCTATTTAATATCTTTTATATCCTTGCCTTACATCGTTTGTATCATTGTATCAAAGAAATATTATTTCGTCCTTTTGCTTCTTCTTATTTCTCTCTTACCTAAGCTGTTTACGAAATACGCGAAATTTTAGAAATACGTGTAATAAACATCTATTTTTATCTTCAGATCCCTTTTGATACTAGGATTTATAAAGATAATTCTTATATCGAATAGATATTATGTATATACATACAGCAACAGAAAGGTGTCTCATAATTCCTTTATTTTTATTATAATTC